TCAGCGGTCATGGGGTTTCTGTGTCTTTGGGCTAACACATCTTCTGATACTAACAAATGAAGTTTTGTCTTTTAGCAAATAACATTTTAAGGGGGGACTGTTGTAGAATTATTAGGCCTCTATAAGTCTGTAAGGCCCCTTTAAATCCTCTTGCTATACCTCTAAGAGGCCCCATAGTTTTACAAGAAAGCTTTGTCTATAGAACATAGAATTTGCATGTCAGCAAGAAATAGCTTTGATAAAATGTGTATTTACTAAAAGCCTTGAAACCTAACCTTGAGAAACTAACAGTGCCAGGCTACACTCTAAATGGATAGCTGCCAAAGGCCCCTCCCGTCGAGTGAGCTCCTCATGTTAACAAAATGGCGCTAAAACCTGGAGGAGACAATCATGACGAGGATAGTGACCTAAGATGGTACACCCCGTAGGGAGGGCATTTTGCTAACTACTTAGCACCTAAGCCAATTAACAATGTCTACTTGTCTATATCTTGATTTTCTTCAATGATGTAATAATGCCTTTAAATGGACCTGCGAGCCTGCTTTTTAAACAGAAGCCATTAAACTTCTCCGAAGTTCTTTCATTAACCTGAACTCTGTGTCTCAGTGTGAATTTACTTCTGCGTGCACGCAACTTTATTATCTTTAATTTGGACAGGAACAGATAGTCATTCAAACTAAATGGTTTGCAGTAAATCATCTACTACAATGTTAATCAGTGGTAAAGGTAACTTAAAAGAAGGATAATAACAGCTGTAGGTTTCGTAGGAGATCAGGTCTCTTCGTCCGATTTCTCTCTCCCTTCAGACATGCGGAACGTCCGTCTAGTCGGTGTCAGGGGCTGTGTGTTGGTGATGGCATTAGGTGCCTCCGAGTCAATGCTCAGTCCCAATGTATGGAGAAATGCTGCTGCGTCGGTTGTGGAGGTGAGTCTTAGAGTCCTGCCATCCGCTGTTGTGGCCGTGAGAGCTCTCGGCAATAGCCAACGGTATTCCACTCCGGCCTTCCTTAGTTGGTTTGTGACTGCACTTAGTGATTTCCGCAATTGTAGGGTATTTCTGGAAAGGTCTTGGAAAAAAAGTCAGTTTGGATGACTCAAAGTCCATGGGTGTTTTGCCCTTCACGGCTGCCAGGAACCGGTTCCTGTCTGACACAGAGTGGCAGCGTACTATTATGTCGTGCGTGGCTTCGATGGGAGCCTGTCTAGATTTGTTGATCCTGTAGCAGCCATCAAGCTGGAGTTTCTTAGCTTGTGAGTGTGGGAGGAGCGTTTCTACCAGTCGCCGTAAGTAGTGTGGCAGTTCCGTCTGGCTTATTGTATCCGGGACACCTC